TTATTTTGGAATATTTTTATATCTTCTTATTTATTATAGAAACTATGAGGAAATATCCACCTGTACCTGTCTTGAATCGCATCTGTACTAAGAATATAGATCTTCCAACAACGAATATTCACGTGCCAAAAGGGACTTCAATCATAATACCAGTACTCGGATTACATCAAGATCCATCAATATATCCAGATCCAGATAAATTTGATCCTGAACGATTTAACAAGGATGTGATAGCAACGAGACATCCTTATGCTTACTTGCCATTTGGGGAAGGACCACGGATGTGCATCGGTGAGGACAATTCTGTTTAATTTACACGTCAATCTTTCCATTATTTAAGAATTTGTTCCTATCTCTGGCATTCCATACAATTTGTATGATAACTTTAGCTTTTTTTAAGCTGACAATGAGAAAGCAGCTTTCATTATTTACATTTTAAAATTTAATAACACATATTATAATTTTTATAAAGATATTTTATTTATATGTATATGTATATACAGGATGTTTCAAGGCTTCTAAGATAAACTCTAGGCGATAATAGATTTCAACAAAAAAATCAACTTTTGTTAAGGAACTTGTATCCTCCAACGCCTGTTCATGTTTGGATTGTCTATGACATATAGACAACTCACAGTTGTGTGACAGTGTTGCGCGTGACGTATGACAATATTAGTTTATATTTTATCTCTTTGCAAAAACAAAATCAAAAGATTTAACATTATATTGTCATAATAAACGCGTAATTCTTTAAAAATATGTCAAAAGACACAGATTTTTTAACAAAAATTTATGTTTGCAAGATCTATCCTTTAAAGTTTGATCAAAAAATTTACAAGTTTGATTAAAAGAATTACACTACATAGGTATATGATAAATACATTTCTTGAAAATAATATATATACATATGTGAATTACACAAATATTATTTAAACATATAGTAAATTGTATTTATTATAGAAAAATTTGTTTAAAATATTCTATTAAAGTTTTAAACACATGATACAATCTCAGAAATCTTTAACAGAGATATTTAATTAATGTGTTATTAATTTTATTATATACGATGCAAATAAAAATAAACAAAGAAGAGCTATTGAGCTAGCTAGTTGGTTGTGCTAATGATATTAATGTATTTATATTCGTAACAATTATAAATTCTTTATATAATCAAGTTATATAATAAAATAAATTAATACATACGTTTCGATCCTACAAGTATGGTCGTCTTTCGCGTGTAAAGAGTTTTGTTAAGCGCATACATCTATACAGTTAACGGTGTCTTTTACTGTAGCTTCTACTATACATATTTGGCTTTTAATATTTCCATTCCACAGACAATTAATCGCAATTGTTGCATAAGCCCAGTCTCCCAGTCTTCCACGTAGTACAAAATTTGTGATCTATTCCTTGTTGCTTCGAATTTTATATAGTGTGCCATGTCGTACATTTATTTCGAGATAAGTTTTTAGGATAATTTATGATATAACATATATAAGGACAATAAAAAAAACCAACCTCAAATTCGTCTCAACAACGAATAAAAGACATTAAATTAAATTTAAAATATAGTAAAAAATAAATAATAAAATAGAAAATAAATAAACAAATACGTATAACAAATAAAAATAAGTTAAAATCTCCAATCGTTACAGTCAATGCTGTAAAATTACGATAATTCCGATAAAGAAAAATTAGGAAAATAAAATTCTTGTATTTTTAATTATAGTCAAATGATAGAATTATAAAAACCAAATTACTTACTCGTTGATAGAACAATTTTGAAATCAATTAATAAAAATGAACAGTTATGCCAATGGAAAATTGTTAGTTTCAAAATCTTATCGCTAGATGGAAGATGTTGAAATAAGGGGACAAGGAGGAAAGACTTTAGGGAGAGATGTAGTAAGAATGGAAAGAATTAGTGGAAGTATATATAGTAAAAGAGTGATTATTAATTCAAAGAGAAGAAATTAAGGATTAGGAGAATTCGAATAAAGTTCCGTGCCGCTCTGCTTATTCTATATATATACACTGCTTAAAAAAATTATGGCATAGAAAAATTTTGAGCAAAAATTGGTCAACTTTGGTTAACGGTAACTCCGCGAAAAATCATCGTAAAATGATGAATT